TTTAAAAAAAAAAAAAAAAAAGTCAAACTCATAGAAACAGAGAGTCAAATGGTAGTTGCCAGAGGCTGGGAGTAGGGGATATAGGGAGAGGCTGGTAAATGGTTAAAGTTTATAAATTTGTTTTTAAATAACACCTAGAAAAAAATCCTGATTTGGGGAGGCATACAATAAAGCCCATTGTTTTTAAGTGTATAATTTTATATTACGCAGATGTAGAACAGTTATCACCCTGAAAGAGCTCCTTGTGCCCTTTTGAGTTGACCCTTTCTCCCACCCCCAGCCCCAGGCAATCTCTGATCTGTTGTTTGTTGCTATAATGTTGCCTCTTCTGGGGTTTCATACAAATGGAATAATATAGAACATAGTCTTTTGCTTTTGACTTCTTTTGCTTGATGTTTTTTTCACTTCCACTTGTGTTTAAGTCAAAGTTAGTATGCTATTGAATGTATTAATAATTTGTTCTTTTTCGTGGTTGAGTAGTACTCTATCATATGAATATATAATATTTTTAATCTATTTACCTATTGGTAGACATTTGGGTCATTCTCAGTTTTAGGCTATTATGATTACAAAACTATGACATTTGTACACAAGTATTTGTGTGGACATGTTTTCATTTCATTGGGTAAATACCTAGAATAGAAATGGTGGGGTGTACAGTGAGTGTATCCATACATTCACCCCAGCCATGGGTAGAAGCCCAGTCAGCTGGCAAAGTCCAGGCCCCAGGCCTGTACGGGAAGCTGGAGATAAGCCCAAATTCTCAGTATCTTCATGATTTTACAGCCCTAAGCCAACAGTAAAATAAGACCTAGTTTGGGCCCTGTAGGGTCCAGTAGAAGCTACCACCCAATACGGAAGCCCATAACCCAGTCCCCCACAAGGGAAGTCTCCCATAAAAGGTAAAACCTGTAGAAGATGAGCTCACAGACAAAAATATGAGACATATAAGAAAGCTGTTCCATAAAAATAGCCTGATTGCCCTGCCCAGGGTGGCTCAGTGGTTGAGCATCGACTTAGGATCCAGGAGATGGAGGTTTGATTCCCAGTCAGGGCGCATGCCCGGGCTGCGGGCTCGATCTCCAGACGGGGGCGTGCAGGAGGCAGCCGATCAATGACTCTCTCATCATTGATGTTTCTATTTCTCTCTCTCCCTCTCCCTTCCTCTCTCTGAAGTCAATAAAGACATATTTAAAGAAAAAAATAGCTTGATTAACTGATACAAATAAAACAATATCCAATAAAGCAATCTTAAAGGTACTTAAAAATAAATGTGTATTTAATTGTGTGTTTTAATGAATTAAATCATTAACACAGAGATATTACTCTTTATGCTTTTCTTTTCTACTCTTCCTTGTATGTGACTGTCAGCCAGAGGTTTCCATACCACCTTGAAAAGAACCAGGATATCATAGTAGGAGTGTGAAGACTAAAGCAATATTTGCTTTGGGACAATAGTTTTTGCTTTTAAAAGAAATTATTGCAAATCAAGAGGGAATACCTGACAGTAACAGGGCACAGACTCTAGAAAGGGAACAGAAGATATGCTGTTTACACTACATGTGACCACTGGGGAGATTAAGTACGGATCACCTGGACCAGCTGGTGAACAGAGAAATGGGCTGTGGCCTTGGAAAAAAGTTGGAGGCCAAGATATGAAAGAACCTGACAGGAAACTCACTGGAAAAAGTCAAGAATTATTGTGGTCAGAGCTGAGCCAAAGTCTTAAGTGGACTTGTGACCCCTTGAGTAAGCACCATGTCTTCCATATTTGCTGTTCTTCTCAATACTTGGGTGAAAGCATTCCACGGACAGCCGTCTGCATAGCACCCCTTAGGTTACCCGCAAGACACCTACCTGTCTCCAAGAACTTGTCAAGCACCTGCCAAACATTACAATGAATGAAGCACCTTTCTATGAAGAATGTAGGACAATATCCAAAATATATTGTTAGGGATAAAGCAAAGTATATAATAGTTTATGTAGTAGAGTACCATTTGCACCATTTGTGAAAGAAAAGTATATATGCACGTGTGTATATGTAGGTGTGTAGTTAATTATTTACACATTTGTGTGTGTGAAGAATGTCTCTGAAGGCTGCAAGAATCTGATGGCAGTAGTTGTCTCTGGAGATTAGAGGGTGGCTGAGGAATAGAGTGGGTGAAGAATTCCTTATATTGCAAATTCTTGTTCCTTTTGAACATTTTTATTATGTGTCTATGTTACATATTCCAAAAATTGAATAAAATAATACAAATAAATATTCACACAAAACAAACAATTTTACTTCTAGATAAATTGTGTGCAGAAGCCCTCATATCTGTACAAAAGGGGGAAAATGCAATATTGTTTATAAGGATAAAAAACTAGAAACCACCAAAATCTCCAGCAGTAGGGGAGTAAGCGTATGAAGCATAGTACCGCTTATAGCAGGCAGCGGGTAGAGTGATGGATGGATCTATCATGGAATAAAGTTAAAGGAAACGAATTAGATTGATCCATCCGTGTATCAACAGGAAGTGACAAAAACAAGTTGAGGAGAAAAAAAGCATAACAGAATATATGTTTAGCATATGACTAAGTCAAAGTATAAAAATGGGCTAGAAGATACCAAACTCACAATGTAGTTTCCCTCTGTGTGTGTGTTGGGGGGGAGGGGGGATATTTTATTTCTCAAAAACAAGTACAAGAAAAGACAGAAAGTAAATAGGACAAAATGTTAAAAGTTTTCATTCTGGGTAATAGGAATACAGGTGTTTGTTGTTTTAGTCTTTGTGTTTTTCTGGATTTTAAACAGTTCTAGGAATGTAAATAGATGTAAAATACAATTATCCAGCCATGGTTCTCCAGATAAATCTTTTACTTTCTTTATAAAATCAAGTAAATTCTAAACAATCAGTCCTGACATTATTCATAAATATTCCTTTAAAAAATGAAATGTTATGTAAGAGGTTTTAAACCATGGGAAAACTCTGGCTTAGCTAGATTGTTTCCTCAGAGGCTCCAGGAGGGAACCACTGTCAGGGAATGCAGGGAGTGCTTGGGAGGACTCCCTGGGCACGCCCACTTACCCTCAGCCCCTCCTAACTCCAAATTCCTGTTCGCTATTCTGTTGAGGAAGCAGGAAGATTTGTCTCAAGACATACTCATTTTTCTTGTGCCTTTTGCTCTTTAAGAAAAATAAAACATTCTGAAGGCGGAGCTTGTGAGCAACACACCAACACCCTCTTTAAAAACAGGAGTCTCCACGCTTACCTGATCACTTCAGTTCCAGTCTCCTGCCCAGCAAAGACACAGGTAGCCAAAATGATGCCTGGAGGTTTAACTAAAGCCAAACCTGCCACTCCAGAAATTCAGGAGATTGCTAATGAGGTGAGTTGATGCACCCCATGGAAGGGTTTGATCCAAAATCTTGGTTCCTAGGTTGGCCCTGAGTGATGTGGGTGAACATGAAAACCAGCACACTGGGAAATGTGTAGTTTTGTTCAGGCTTTCTTAGAACTAAAAGTATTTTTAGATGAAACCTCTAATAATCCCAACTGTGAAAGTGGCCTTGAGGAAGTCACATCCCTTCTCTGAGCCTCAGTTTTCCCACTTGTAAAAGAAGACTTTGTATTGGACCATCTCTAAAGCTTTGACAATGTATGATTCTAGGATTCTTAACTCAGTTTCTGATGAAACTTTTCTAATCTCACCAAGTGGAGACAACATGTAATTAAAGTCTGAAGTTGTTAACAATTTGACAAACGACTTCAAACGCACTGCAGGGGAATTTTTTTAAATGGGTTAATGAAGAACAACATTGTAAAGGCAGTCCACTTACAAACTTCCTACAAACTTGGCCAAGTAGAAAAATGTTTTAGGCCTTTAGTGTTTAGAAGATGATTTAGGTTTTTAGAATTTCCTATTTAGAAGGAGAATTTTTGTATTTAGAAGAAGATTATTCAGTAGAAAAGTAGAATTGTCTATGGTGATTCCAAAATTCATTATGATGAAAATAGAACTCTGAATGTTTTTTAGCAAGTTGATACAACTTTTTAAATGTTGTTTGATTAGCTGTCATCCATATAATAACATTTATTCTATTGCATATTTTATGAAAAGAGAAATATATAAATTACTATTTTAGGCTTGTATCATTTTCTATTTTCTTGTATCGTTCCTTCTTCCTTTTTCTCTCTGAAACTTCGTTCTACGACACTGTTTGGCAAACAAGATCAGTATCCTGTGTAAATGGAAGAGACGGGATCCTCTATGTTAGGGCCCTGGTTGCCTCCCGAACATGCCCCAGCCAGGGCAGGGGACTGAACCTGCAACCCAAGTAAGCGCCTTTTTACCAAGAATCAAACCTGAGACCCTTCTGTGCACGGGCTGATGTTCCAACCACTGAGCACACCAGCCAGGGTGGAAAATTACTTTTTTAAATTTATCCTTATTGTTGAAAGTATTACAGATATTCCTCCTGTTTTCCCCATTGACTCCTTCCACCCCACATCCCCCCCCACCAGGCCTTCCCCACACTATTATCTGTGTCCATGGATTATGCATATATGCATATCAGTTCTTTGATTAATCTCTCGCCACTCACCCCACCCCCGTCTTCCCACTGAGGTCCCTCAGTCTGTTCCATGCTTCTATATCTCTGGATCTATTTTGTTCCTCAGTTTATTTTGTTTATTAGATTCCACATATGAGTGAGATCATGTAAAACTGAGTCAGGAAGAATCAGAAAACCTGAATAGGGCAATAACATCTGATAAAGTTGAAGCAGCAATAAAAAAACTCCCAGCGAACAGAGGCCCTGGTCCAGATGGCTTCAGAGGGGAGCTTTCTAATTCTTTAAGTTGTAGGGTTAGATAGTTTACTAAAAATTTTTCTTGTTTTTTGAGGTAGGCCTGCAGTGCTATGAACTTCCCTCTTAGGACTGCTTTCACTGTGTCCCATAGATTTTGGGTGGTTGTGTGTTCATTTTCATTTGTTTCCAGGAGGTTTTTTATTTATTTCTCAATCTTATTGGTAACCCACTCACTGTTTAATAACATGTTATTTAGCCTCCATGTGTTTGAATGGTTTTGAGTGTTTTTACTGTAGCTGATTTCTAATTTCATGCCCTTGTGATGTGAGATGCTTGATATGATTTCAGTCTTCTTGAACTTGTAGAGACTGGTTTTGTGTCCTAACATATGGTCTATCTTTGAACATGACCCATGTGCACTTTAGAGGAACGTATATTCTGCAGCTTTGGGGTGAAATGTTCTGTAAATATCAATTAAAACCATTTGATCTTGTGTGCCATTTAGTCACTGTTTCTGTGTTCACTTTTTGTCTGAAAGATCTATCCAGTGAAGTCATTGGGGTGTTAAAGTCCACAACTATGAATGTATTGCTGTTGGTCTCTCCCTTAAAGCCCTTAAGGTTATTATTGACAGGTCCTTATTTATTGCCATTTTAATTCTTTATGCCTATGTTTCTCTCTCTATTTCTTCTTATTATTACAGCAGTCCCTTTCACATTTCCTGCAATGCTGGTTTGGTGCAGGGTGGAAAATTTTAATTTTAACGATCTTTAAAAACCTGTCTTGATTAGCAAGAATTTTTCTTCTTAAATAAAAAGCTATCAAAAGGCCTTGCATTGTTAATAACACCCATCTTTGAGCCACATCTTAAATGATAAAATTTATTTGAAAGTGTTTTTCTTGCTGTGTATCTCAGGCTCAAATCCTGTCAGAGACTTAGAATGAGAGAGAGGTGTTTATAGTAGCTACATCATCCCAGAAAGGTGCTTTGCAGTTTTAAAAGCTTTGCCCTCCATTCAACCTCTCATTTGATCTTTATAACTCCTGGGGCAGGGAGGAAAGGCATCATGCCCATTTTTCAGATAATGAAACTGAGATTCAAAGATGGTAATAACCACCTAGTCAAGAAGCTAGCCTATCTCCAGATTTTTGACCTCCTGCCTTTCCCACCAGACAGCGGCAGGAACGCGGAGAAGTGTGTGGGGTGAGGGAAATACCCTGGGGAGATACTGTGTGGCAAATTTACCTTCTCTGTGCAAGCAGCAGGCCTCGGATTTAAATCAATATGGGAAATGGATATCAGTGAATCTATTCTTGAATATCTCTTAGGTGTTGGCACTGTATTAAATATTAAAGAAGATACAAGGCTATAAGATATGGCTCCTGCCTTCAAGGAGTTTCCAGTCCATTTAGGGAAATCAAGATATCTGGAACATATAAAACAATGTTCAATCAAGTACTTTTTTATAATCATAGGTTTTGGACCAGGAAAGACATTAGAGGTTGCTTGTCAAACCCCTTTACTTTCAGGTGAATAATTACTGTGTGGTAGTTCAGCTTCTCCGGGGTCACACTCCCAGTTGTCATTTATCTTCCCTCTCTTACAGGAGAGAGCCTTAGGGAAGATAGGGCAATAGTCCATTTGGAAGCACTTTATAGTTTAGGAAGCACCTTCACACCAATTATACCATTTGTTCTTCTACAAACAACCCCAAGAGACAGGTATTACTATAACCACTTTTAAGTGAGGAAATTTAACCAACACCTTCTCCAAGATTATAGAATCAGTTAGGTCCCCAGGCAGGGCCAAGCAAATGAGTAGGTGTTGGTAATCACATACCTAGTATGATCCGAGTGAATCCCAAAGACAACCACCACTACCTGTCATTTACCTTATAGATTTATTCCTTTGATTTTTAAAAAATATATATATTTATTGATTTCAGAGAGAGGAAAGGAGAGGGAGATAGAAACATCAATGATGAGAGAGTCATTGATAGAGCCCACAACCCAGGCATGTGCCCTGACCGGGAATCGAATCCGGATCGCCTGGATCCCAGGTCGACGCTCCACCGCTGAGCCATGCCCGGCCAGGCTCCTTTGATTTTTTAAAATGTATTTCTATTTTGAAAAATTACCCATTAAAATGCAGGTGTTCTTGGAGGAGCTGAAGTTTATCGGCTTTTCCTGTTGTTGTTGGAGAGCTTCTTAGCGGAAAGCCAACTGAGGGAAGAACCTCGTTGGGGACGGAGGGAAAGGAGGGGGAAGTCATCTCATAGAGGGCGGAGAACATAAAAAATGATAACTGCATATTCAAGGCATTTGACATCAAAATGAAAGAGGGATGTTGGATGAGGTCAGAAAAAGAAGATCAAACAAAGGGCTTGGGATTCAGAAGACAAACATTTTTGAAGGCAGAAGAAAAGAGTTTGCCCATTCTGAAGATAACAGGACTGGGTGGTAATTGTAGAATCATTACTAAAGAATGCTAAGGGTACTTGGGGCCAGAGTGCACCCGAAAGTAGCCTCCTCTTCCAAGATTCTCTGTATTAGCTGGGCATCTTGGCTGTGCCCCTCTCCTATCCTCTTTCCTATTTTGGGAAACAAGTTGTCACAATAAAAACCTAGTCTCTTCATTCAGAAAACATTGATTATGTACAAAGTACTGTGTGAATTTCTATAGGGTGTGAAGGGATATAAAAGATATAAAAGTAGTCCCTGCCCTCAAGGAAATTCACAAAATAGGTTGAAGATAAGAGACACACCCATGGAAATAAAGAGCCATACATGCCACACCCATGAAAAGCCATAATACAAGGTGGGGCAGAAGGAGGTTTACAGCTGTGAGTACGAAAGACACAGGGTTTATTCTTGTATTATTATTTATGTACTAACTACTGTATTTTGTATACAAACAACTGTAAACCTACTTTTGCCCCACTTTGTATATGTAATTAAGAACCTAATGAATGACCCTACTAACAACAGCTTCTAGGTCATTATTGCTGATCCATTATCTTATAGTATATGTTAAAAGAAAAAAAAAAAAATTGAATGAGAATTCCGACAATGTTTATGGGCAGGAAAGAAATGTTAAATAATTATTTTTAGAAATAAGAGCTATTATTACACATGCACAGGTACATACACATAAAACACACACACACACACACACACGTCAAACCTGATTACTGAACACCACTCTTGGCATACACACACATCACAATTTTCATCTGCCAGGACACCACACAAACACTCCATTTGCATGCCATATGGACACACACCGGGGCTTAGCATGTCATGGCCCTCACTCACCCACAACTTTGTGCTCCACTCTCTGACTATAGCCTCCTCATCAGTCACCTCTCCCACTGTCCCACACCCAGAGAACCTGCCATTCAGCCACACCAGAATCCCTCAGGCACTCAGCCTCCCATCTGCATCGGAACAAACGTAGGCTCACTGGATCAATCATCCAGCCTGGACCTACAGTGGGTGATTCCATCTTCTCCTCCACCCCTGATTTCCATGACCCCGCGAGTTCTGGCATCCTACCACTCCCACGGCCACCACCTCCTCCTCAGCTTCTGCTCCAGGTTCAGGAAACTTTGCTCAAAGAAGATGCAAAACCACAGAAAACTAACCTGTCATAAATCTATGAATTCATGCCAACAAACAACCGCTACAGACCCCTGGGGCTGCCAGAGCCTCCTCTTTGTCATATCCTGTTGGTCCTTTCCTAGAAACCGCACAGAGATGGAGCTGAGCCTTGTGTCTCCTCAGTCCCTCCCGTGGCCGTGGCCCCTCCAGCAGGTGCCTGGGTTCCTCTCTTAGAAGACTGCAGTCATCCCGCGTCAGAACGCCCCAGGTTACTTACCCGCTGCTGATCTCATCCCCCCCTCCAGTCTAAGACTCTGTTCTCCTTTCTAAAGCCAGCCCTTCCTCTCTTGAGCCAGGGGCCATCACTTCTGGAGTACCAGGTGCCTTGCCCTTACTTCCCCCTTCCCTCAAAACATAATCAGACAACAAATGTCCACGAGTCACCTCTGAGCAGCCCTATTGCACTTTCATGCTGCTCCCCGAACTCTCCTCCTTTACTCTGTAAAACTTCCCAAAACATGGCCTGTCCATGTTGCCACTGTTACCTTTCGATCCATTCTTTCCTAAATTAAGCATAGTCCAAACGATTCTGCAGAACAATTACAAAGTAAACTCCTGGGTGTTGGGTGCCACGTGGCTGGAATCCTCAGATTCCAGAGAAACAATTCACCAAGATCCATGCTCTGCAGCAGTAATGCTTGAATAGCTCTGGGGTAAATGCATTTTACCAGGTGCTCCCTGGTGGCACCCTTCCCCTGGCTGGGGCCCAAGCGATACGCCTACACTGTTTGTGCCAGCACCTCAGCCACCACCACGGGCATGGCAGGCTGAGGACAGCGAACACCACCTGTGTTCAGCTCAGTTTTCCACCAGGCTCCTGACCACCGCTCCCAGCTGACCTTCGCCCTCTTAGCACCCATTCTGGGGGGCCTTTCAACACCAAGCTGCTTTCTGAAAAATCAAGGTTTCACTGAGGAGCTTCTTCCTACTCTGCCCCTTCTCCTGCTCCTCAGCTTCAATCTCTTCACCCCAGGTTCCTAGCATCCAACATTAGAACAACACAAATCTATTTTCCTGGAAAGGGGGAGCAAGGCTACAGGTAATAAGTAAGTAGGTCCTCCGTATCCACAAGCTTCACATCTGCAAATTCAACCAACCAAGGATCAAAAATATTTTGGGGAAAGAATCCCAGAAAATTCCAAAAAGCAAAATGGACTTGCCATACACCAAGCTCTATGCCAAAAACACACAAAGTACACTGTAGCCTATATGCAAACACAGGCTCTGTATAAATACTGTACTATGTCATTGTCTATAAGGGACTTGAGCATCTGTGGGTATCTGCAGGGGGTCTTGGAACCAATGCCCCCCAGATTCTCGGGGGCTGAGTGGAATCAGGGTGCACACTCTGGCAGGTGCACTTACCGAAACAAACCAGGACCACTGCAATCAGCTCTCTCATGAAAATTCTGGACTCGCAGGCTGCATCAATACAATGGAAAGGCTGCAGATTAGATTGGAGAGATAGAAATAAAAACTTCTGATGTATGGTAAAAACGTGACCAAAAGACTGGAAACCAGAAGGCTCACAGATAACTGCAACAGATAAATCAGACACTTAAGTTATCAGGCGAGAAACTTAATCCTTTAAATTACTATAATTAGCAATGTATCAGCCTTAAGCAGTCATGTTCTCCTTACAGCCTCAGGTTCCTTGTTTGTAAAAGAGGTTTAAATAGATAATTTGAGGTTTTGTATAGAGATTAACCCTTTTCAACTCTTTCTAACTTGTCTGGTGTGCAGTGCTGACTGCAATGGGACAGCAACCCCTTTCCCTGCTGACTCCTCTCTCCGCCCGTGTCCGCTCTTCTCCTCTCTGCCCTGCACACTGCCTCTCCCCGTTTCTGATTTTCTCTCACGATTTGTCTCCTTCCTTTCTCTACTTGGCGCTTCATTTTTCCATCTCAAGGTTACAGGGAAAACAGGTGGCAGGTAGTCCATGAAGGGTTTGCCCCTCCAAAGTGTTCTGAGGACGCCTAGTCTGCAAATGTCTTCATGTTTGAAAGCAGCTCTGGCACCCAAACTGAGGCGCCGATAGAAAAGGCTGCAAAACATTCAGAACCCTGCTGGGCAGGGCTTGCCGGCCCCAAGAGAACCCCAGATGCACCGGAGGCCCGCCTGGAGCTGCACATGCGCACAAAAATGCTCCAGCGAGGGCCAGGGAGGCAGCTGCCCAACAAACAAGAGGCAGTAACACACATTTATTTCCCTTTTCCCTCTAAATAATAGAAAAGGGTGGGGGGGGAAGGAGCACAGACACACGAATATAAAGACAACAGGAGATAGGCAAAGCCCCCCTTAGAGATACCGACAAAACTTTGGAAGATGGAAAACAGGTGAACATTGGGAAATGACTGAGGCATCTAGCCAGAGCCTAAGCCACCGAGGGGACTGTCTGAGCCAGAAGCAAGCAGGCTCACGCTGTGGACACCCCCAAATACCTCAAGCGGGAGCAACACCAGAAACTGATGGAGAGGACAGTGAGGCGTGGGGCTAAACCCAGGACGGCTGGTGGGAGATCTGTATGAGGAGCAGTGAGGCTGCCCCGAGCCTTCCTCCTCGCTGTCCACCCTGCAAGACAAGCTGTTTCCTTTCCTCATCCTGGCAGAGGCTGGAGCTTCGCTCTTAGCACAGACTGAGCCGGAGAGGCCACGCTGGGTGTTAACACGGGAGGCCCAGCTGGGAGCAGGAATGAAGGACCCACACTGACAACGCGGATTCAGTATAAGTTTACATACTGAATTTGAGACTCTCTTGCTCCCTTCTCATCCTTGGTTCAGAAATTCTGGGATCTAAGCTTATATTCCTCTTTGGTAGACAGAAGGATGGCCATCCCGATTCCTGAGTCCTGTAAATATGTGACCGTACATGGCAAAGGGACTTGCAGATGGGATTAAATGAAGGATCTTGAGATATACGATGCTATTTTTGCAATTTTGAATCAGGAATTATTCTTTTAATTCTTAATGAAATAGTAATTATTGCTCTCCCTTTTTTATTAATCAAAGACATATATAATTATTAGAGCTTTGCCAGTCAAAAATTACCACATTGTCATATTACCATATCACCACACTGATGATGTAAATACCACCTAAAGCAACAAAATTTGACCTTTTAGTAGCTCATGTAATGTTATTAAAGTAGGCGTTTTCTTTTCTTGGAAATACGAAAATAGCTCATATTTCTCAGTATTATCATTTAGGAACATGAGGTCCTAGGTGTGTAAACCACATAAATGGAATCAAATTTATTTTTGATCATTTGTTTCTTCTTTTCTTAAGGTGAAGCCACAGCTGGAAGAAAAAACAAATGAGACTTACGAAGAATTTGAAGCTGTAGAATACAAAACCCAAGTGGTTGCTGGAATAAATTACTACATCAAGGTTAGAGCTCAGTATCTATTTTGGCACCAAAAGACATTGTATTTCTCACTTTATGTGATGTTCCCTGTCACCTCTATCCTATAATCTGTTCCTTCTCTTTGTCCTAAATCAAGATGCCTACATAGCATACTTCCCAAGTAGTAAACTATCAAATTTAATAGATGACGGTATATTTTTATATCATCTTTTTCTTTTTCTTTTTTAAAGATTTTATTTTATGTTTTATTACAGGTTAGAAAATTTCAAAAATAATTGTTTGGAACCATACTGAAAAAAACCACACATAATGGCTCCATAAAAAAGTATTCTGGCATCTGTTAGAATTTTTCTTTCATCTTTTTCTTATTAATTTAGAAAGCCTCCTTATATTGATTCTTAATCTGATTTCCAGAAATTGTATAGAAAAAGGTTTCATAAAAGTTCAGATCATGTCTAGCTTGTAGTTACAGCTGCTTAATATGTGAAGTGGGAGCCTGAAGACCTGGGCTTGACCAGATGCTATCTATTATTTTATTTTTATTTTTAATCTTCACCCGAGGATATGTCTTTATTGATTTTCAGAGAGAGAGGATGGGAGCGAGAGAGAAACATTGATCAGTTGCCTCCTGTATGCACCCTAACCAGAGATGGAACCTACAACCTGGGTATGTGCCCTGACCAGGAATTGAACTGGCAACCTTTTGGTGTCCGGGATAATGTCCTAATCAACTGAGCCACTCAACCAGGGCAAAACCAAATGCTCTCTTGAAGCTTATTCTGCCTCAAAGCATCGTGATTCTACACATCTCACTAAAGTGGATCTAAGGAATGACTTGAATCATTAGCTGGGAAGATAATTTAAACCACTCTTTCCCTTTTTGCATTTGGATTAATATAATTTAAATAATTTTTGCAACTCAAATAAATAGATTCAACTGTGGAACTGAAGGTATAGTTTAAAGCACTGGAATATTAAAAATGTTTTAAAATTAATTTTATATCAATATCTAAAAATTAAATGATGTATTGATCCAGTTCCAACTGAAGAAAAAAACGTGTGTATTTACTGAGAGGGAACTAGTTCAAGTCAACCACAGATACTTGGGAGCTATTTTGTCCTTTTGTATTGAGAAAATGATAATCCTGATTTAATAAATAATAACAGCGGGCATTCAAATGCACTTACTAGATCTTTACTAAATTATTTGAATGGGGCATAGTCTGGCTTATTTCTCTTTAACAAACAATTAGTTACTTAAGATATATAATTTTTAAAAAATGTTTTTAGCAAAGAAAATAAGTGGTGCTAAGCAGCTCAGCATGAGAAAATCACAATACTGGGTTATGTAAGTGGATCAGCCCAGTTCACCAAATCTGAGCTCCTGAAATATG